TTATTTTTGAGAGAGAGAGAGACATAGCATGAGTAGAGGAGGGGCAGAGAGAGGGAGACACAGAATCCAAAGCAGGCTCCAGGCTCTGAGCTGTCAGCACAGAGCCCGATGGGGAGCTTGAAACCCACAAACCATGAGATCATGGCCTGAGCCGCAGTAGGATGCTTAACCAACTGAGCCACCTAGGCACCCCTGAATAATTCTAGAATGATTTTCAACAAACCTGAAATAGAAGTAAATAATTTACATTATCTTCTAAAGCAGCAACCTGGTAGAGAACACTCACGTGTTAGGTATATAAATTATGTGAAGTACTCTAACTTTACCTAAAAAGTAATCATGAATATAAATTGTCACTTCTGGTTGAAGATGTCTGACAATAGATGTTTTCAGTCCTTTATCTTATAGAAAGAAAGTACTTATGATAGCTTCAATGGCTATGTTGAGTGACTGGAGCGTAGAGGCTATATCACTTGACACTAAGTCATATAAAAATTTGATTTAGAATGGCATAAGAGACTATCTGTTTTTTGGCAATATGTACTTAATTCTCATAATAGAAGAGTGACATTTTCCCCCTTTTGTTTTGACTCAGTAACTCTAAAAATTGTACTTACATTACTATTTATTAATCTTTTAGTTTTGGCATATCCTATTGACTTCTCACATTGGATAAATGAGGATTTAGCTGTCTTTCTTTGCTAAGTATACACGCTCACTTTCAATTCCCACAGTTGTTCTAATAAAGCATTGTAATGTTACTAGGGTCAAAATTTAGTATTTACATTATTATGATTATGTAAAGCTATTCACAGTTGAGCCGTGTAGTATTATTACATGATTCTTTTTCCTGCTCCATGTCAGTTTTTTCTTTTCCATGAAGTTAGTAATTGACTTTCCTCCCCTAGTTGTTTATGTATAAGTGTCCTATGTATAATTAGAAATTCAGTTTCAGTTATTCCCAAAAACTTTAGATGCAAGAGATATTTTATTAATTTATTATTTTTGAAAATTATTTCTTGAAACTTTGCTCTGAAAATACCTGACAGTACTTTACTTATTTTTAAAAAATTTTTTTCAATGTTTATTTATTTTTGAGAGAGAGACAGAGCATGAGTGGGGGAGGGGCAGAGAGAGAGAAGGAGACACAGAATCCAAAACAGGCTCTAGATTCTGAGCTGTCAGCATAAAACCCAATGCAGGACTTGAACTCACGAACCGTGAGATCATGACCTGAGACCAAGTCAGATGCTCAACTGACTGAGCCACCCAGGTGCCCAGACAGTACTTTACTATGATATTAAGCTGTCATTCTGAGATTTCACCTTATCAGTTTCCTGGTGATTCCCTTTACTCTTCCCCATGTGGATCTCTTTTACTTGGACCTGTGGCTTTCTTCTGTTTCGGTTTCTCATTTTGGAAAAACATATCCTTCCTTAGTTTTCTGAGAAATGATATATGAGTGGTATTGAAACATGTCATTATTGTTTCATTTGATTGTTAGTTTTGACTCAGTATAGAATAACGGGTTAGGTATTTTTCCACCTATTTTGAAACCTTTCTCCGCTGTTTTCCATCTGCCAGTGTTGCTGTTAAGAAGTTTGCATTCTTTTGGATTCTTCAAACATTGTATATGGTAGTGTTCTGAAATTTTATAATAGCGAGTCTTGGTATGTATAAATTTTATTCCACTTAGCCAGTTATTCATTGTAAACTTTCATTCTGGAAACTCATGCCCTTTAATTCTGGGAAATGATTATTTTTGAAGAGAACTTCCCCTTTATTTTCCTTTATTATATTTTTTGAAACTCTTATTATTAATATGTCAAACCTCTTTGATTTGTCACCTTTTTCTTTTTTAGTCCCTTTGATCTTATTGTTTTACTTTTTGTTTTTTTTCCTCTTACTTCTGGAAAGTTCTACAGTGCATGCTGCATTGTTTCTTGACTTTTTTCACTGGTCCTTTAGGATTAACTTACTGTGGTTTATTAAAAGTTTGCTACAATTTTTCATTATGCTTTCTACCATCCAAATCTTTTTTCTGTTGTCCCCATTTGTGTTTCCTTTTTACCTTTTTCATTTATTCCCTTTAGTTTGATTTTTTTTGAAACTGGAAAAAGTAAATGCATGTATTATATTTGACATCTCTCTCCAAAAGGCTGCATCCACTTTTTTAAAAAAAATTTTTTAAAGATAAAGGAGATAAATGATCAGGTAAAAATTATTTGGTTAATCAAGAAAGTGAGCTAAAATAAAGTACCATAAGGAGCACTTATTTGAATATATTCTTTTAAGTTAAGTCATCTAATTATATACTTATTAGCCAATTTACTGATTTTGAATCAATGCCTTGTTTTTAGTATACATCCATTGATAAGTATATTATAGTATCTCTCTTGCATAAGCCATTATCATCATGGTTCTTGTAAGAATAATATAAAATTAGTTAGTTAGTGATGTTAGATTTTAGACTATTATAAGACAAAAGAAAATAAGAAAATTTCTAAAAGAAAATTCTATACTCTAATAAATTATCTTAATTTTATATAGGTATATTACCTGAAGAGAAATTAGCAACAATTTTTATTAGACATGCACTGCTACTTGCTGAATCCCTCATGAATGAGATTAATACCCTTATAAGCAGACCCCAGAAAGCTCTATGTGAGGACACAGTGAGAACTGCCATTTATGACCAGGAAATGGGTCGTCACCAGGCATTGAATCTGCTGGTATCTTGGTCTTGGACTTCCTAGCCTCCAGAATTTTAATAAATACATTGTTAGTATTTATATACTACCTAGTCAATGGTATTTTTGCTAAAGCATGGCAGACTAAGATTTATATCATTTTCAAGTCTTTCTAAAACATTCACCTTAGCTTTGAAGCAATATTAAATATCTTTCTTTTTATTAGTTTACACAATATTTAATTAAACTGCATATTTGCAATAACCAGTGCAATTAGGATATGCAGTTTTGAAAAGAACAACAATTAATTTAAATAAGTATACAACTAAGCTGGTGGAAGAAATTGTGGAAGGGACTTGTTAAAGTAGCTAATTTCAAGGTTTAGAGTGGGGAGGGTTGAAGATAAGTCGATTCGGAGGTGAGAGACGATGGGGTACAGGATAGTGAGTACAACAGAATTGGAAAGATGCTCAGTGGATAGGTTGTCACTGGAAATTGGAATTTCTGAATTAAGATCTCTCTGACTTATAACGTATTGCTTGTGTCATTATTGTGCATATAATATTGCTCAGCATGTGACATGAAAACTCTTATAAAGAATAATAAAAATGTTCTAACAGCCTAGTAAGATTTAACTGATTATCTGATTTACTTTTCAGAAATGTATGAACTCCTTGCTTTTTAATACAGCCATATTTTCATTTTATCTTGCTTATTAGAATTAGAATTGTTAATTTAGAGGGTTAAAGAAAGAGTGTGAAAACTTCAGCTATAGTATTTTTGATGTCTTTATTTTTAATTTTTCAAAGTTTAAGAGTCTCATGCTCTACCAACTGAGCTAGCCAGGCAGTTTAAAGTTTATTTATTAACTTTGAGAGAGAGAGCAAGCGAGGGAGAGGCAGAGAGAGAGAGAGCAAGAGAGAGAGAATCCCAAGCAGGCTCTGCGCTATGAAAGTGGAGACTGACATGGGGCTTGATCTTGAGAACTCTGAGGTCATGACCTGAGCCGAAACCAAGAGTTAGATGCTCAACCAACCTTGCCACCCAGGCGTCCCATTATTTATTAAAGTTTATAAAGAAAATCAGCATTTGGGTTTGGATGAAATTATTAAAAATCAACCAAAAGTAATTAGGTAAATAGGTCCAATTTGATACTTTTAAGTTTTAAGAGAGAAATGAAAAACTTTTTAGATACTAAGTTTGGTAATTAAGAACAGAGAACAAAACTTGTCAGCAATATAGCAACTATTATAAACAATGTGTTTAAATTCTGTATTGTAGTTTGATTAGAAGTAGACACAGAGGGTAAACTGAGAAGACCTTGAAGTTTATAAGGTAGAAAAGAGACACAAGAGAGACAGGTGAAATGATGAGCAAAGAAACAAAGGAAAAAGTAGAGTTGATTACAACAAACCTAAAACAATATGCAATTGCAGAAATAGAACAAGAGAGTCAGGCCTGGCTAATGGGCTGGAGTTTGGCCTGGGCTTCCTCAGGCCAGAGTCCAGGACAGAAGTGATCGGCTATGGAAACTGTACACTCATACATGGAAAATGTTTAGAGAGGGTTTGATTTGATTCAGAGTGCCTCCCTTGCTTCCCCTACTAACGTGAAGTCACTGTGGAAGGCAGCAGAAACATACTTTCAAACCCTTTGAGAAAGCATTCCCTATTTCCTTGACTGAGTTAGGATGCTTCTTTGGGACCATGTGTGGCAACCTGAGATCATTCTGTGCTCCTTGTGGCCAGCTGGGAAGGGCTGGGGTTTGTTAGAGAGTGACATTTGTAGAATTAGAAAGGCTAAAGAAAGAAAGATGGTTGTGGTTACATAGTGAAGGAACAGAATTAATTTAGAAGCTAGAAAGGACCCAAGGGAAGGGAAGAGGAGGGAAGGGGAGGGGAGGGGAGGAGAGGAGAGGAGAGGAGAGAAGAGGAGAGGAGAGGAAAGGAAAGGAAAGGAAAGGAAAGGAAAGGAAAGGAAAGGAAGGAAAGGAAAATGGGAATTACAAATGAGTGGATCTTTGCCATTGGTATAAATCTGGGTCACTTACGGCTGTATTTTTCCATTTGTGTTTTGTCTGTGGACTGTGATTGCATAGTTGTCTAATAAATGTTTCATCATCTGAGTCTAACAATAGAGTTCATTCTAGAATACAATTGTTATATAACAAAATTCGGTATGTTGGAGAAAAAGTCAATCAACACAGTTTTAGCTCTGTAATGTCCTTTGTTTGTAGGGAGTCAGGCATAAATGAGCATTTGTCATTCGACTCTTCTAGTGCATTTCCAGCATAGTGTGCCTTGGGCATGACACATCAGAGTCTGGTGTTTATCTTTTATTACCTGCCAGACCCCTCTGGAAAAGAGCCTCCATGGAATTCATCATCTGCAGTGTTTGTTTCAGGTATACATATAAATACGTGTTGAACGCATTTGTTGGGGATTGTGGTTTCCAAAGTGGACTTAAATAAAAAAGTGTGAGATGGATGATGAAGGGGACCTTCTACAGGAGGTATGAAGTTAATGGTTAAAGTGTTATTTACCAAAATACTGACAGCAAAGCTTTTTATTATTCTATGTGAATATTTGAATGCCAGTATGAATAAGGGCAGTGTGATTATACTTGTTTTATGTCTGCTTTGGAGAGGTTGGTGAAGAAACTCTCTCCTCTACTACACGTTGAGTTTATAAATATAATAAAAACTAAAAATTCATAATTTGCATTAGAAAAGCTCACTTAGTTTGAGTAATCATTGAAAATAACTTCATTAGGCACTGAGTTTCAGAAGCATAAAGATGCTATAAAATTCTTTTATGCCTAGTTTGGTTGTTATTAAGAGCACAATCTTTGCTTTTCTCAAAGATTTTGTCTCGTAATAAAAATGCTTTGAGGTTAAGTGGCTAAAGGTGAGAACCCATTTTCAAATTATAATTGAAATGCATGGCATTTAAATAGTGATAGCCTCTCATCTGCTCTAGAATATATTAAAATACTCAGTTGTCAACATGTAGCACTTCTCACTAGTTTTTAATGCATATGTACCCAACTTCTACTCTTGTATTTCTCACAGACCATTCTGAAAGACTGAAAGGTAGACTAGGAGGCACATTGTGGTCGAGTCTGGGAGAATGTGGGTTTTCTTTAGATGGACTTAAGAAAATACAATACAAGAAGCACAACTACTAAGTGCAAAGCATAGTGTTAGGCCAACACACTGTGTTTGAAATAGAAGCATAGAGAAAATAGATTTGATCCCCACTCCTCCATCTAGTGGAGAAGGTAGCTAGAAGGCCAAGGAAGAGTGGGATCACTGCTATGTATAATGAGTGTGAGTGGTGTGCTTTGGAATGGAGATAACAAATGTACTTTCTACAAGGAAACTGGGTAACAGTATGTGAAGAAGAGATTCGCTGAGGAGTAGCTGTGGCTCATCACGCAGTGTCCTGTCATTGTCAGAGGCATTAAATGATGGACACAATGTTTATTTATTTTTTTTGTAAAAATTTTTAAATGTTTTATTTATTTCTGAGAGAGAGAGAGACAGACAGACAGACAGTGTGAGCAGAGGAGGGTCAGAGAGAGAGTGATATACAGAATCTGAAACAGGCTCCAGGCTCTGAGCTAGCCTTCAGCACAGGGCCGACACAGGGCTTGAACACAAGAACCATGAGATCATGACCTAAGCTGAAGTTGGATGCTTAACCGACTGAGCCACCCAGCCCCCACATTTGTTAATAGAATGATTTTATCTGAAAGTAAATTTGGAGCTGCAAATAAATGATTACTTAGGCAAAGTAGTTAGTATGCACATCTTTACCTTTAAAAATTTTTTTAAGCTTTATTTATTTTGTTAGAGAGAGAGCACAAGCAGGGGAAGGCGCAGAGAGAGGGAAAGAGAGAATCCCAAGCAGGCTCTGCACTGTCAATGTGGAGCCCAATGCAGGGCTCAAACCCATGAACCATAAGATCTTGACCTGAGCAGAAATCAGGAGTTGGATGCTTAAGCAGCTGAGCCACCCAGGTGCCCCACATCATTACCCTTTCAAATATTGGTGTCTAACTATTCAACTTCTTCATCTAGGTTTTACTACACCTGAGCCCATGAAAAATCTGTATTTCCCACCCCTAGCTATATTTCCAGGTGACCCAGCTTTTGTGAAAATCCTGAAGTGTTACAGTCTCCCAAGACCAGGCTAGACCAAATGTTGATTATTCATTCATTCTTAGGAGAATAGAAAAACTAGCAATATGATTTTATTTTATTTTAATTTTTAAAAATGTTTTTATTAATTTTTGAAGGAAAGAGAGAGTGTGAGCTGGGGAGGGGCAGAGAGAGAGGGAGATACAGAAACTGAAGCAGGCTCCAGGCTCTAGGCTGTCAGCACAGATCCTGATGTGGGTCTCAAACTCATGAACCGGGAGATCATGACATGAGCCAGTCAGACACTTAACTGACTGAGCCACCCAGGCGCCCCAGAAATATGATTTTAAAGTACACAATTTTCATAGCAAGAGACAAACCCTGTCTCTTGGGAAAAAGTTCCTTGATAGCTGAGATAGAACATTATATTTAATAGATGTAATAAAAGTAAGTCTAGGTGTCCACTTGACCCAACTCCTCTAAATAACCCCCATGCTACCGTGTGTAGGGTCATATTCTCAGGAAGAGAAAGAATATGGAAGGTGGGAGGGAGATAGTGTGTGACATTTCATTTCTAGTTAACTAATATCTGGAAAAGGACAATGATTTTGTTCCATACCAGATGTTCTGGCAACGTGAGCCGCAGCAGCATGAGGTTAACTGCAAAAAACACAGCCGCTGAACAAAGGCCCGATGAATCAAAAGGGCAGATTGTGTGCGTGAAAAAACTCTCCCTGGTGGTTTCTTCCCCAACCTAAACAAATTTGTTGGTAGAATCTTCAGTGAAAATGAACAGTTATTAATCTTAGATTTGGTATTTCTCTAAAGAACATTTTACTGAGATTCTCTATTCAAAACAATGTCATAAAGTCGTGTGTTCAGCCAAATTCTTAGCAGCAGTGAACAGACAATAGATCAAAAAAACATTCTTATTCCCAAATGTAGCCCCTATGGGTGTGTGAAGTTGCAAATTGAGGGAAATGGCAGGACATCATAATAATTAAAAGCTATTTATCAAAAACCTCGTGTGTGGTCCTGAGCTGGGTGATATGCCAAGCTACTTGGGTAAGATCTGTTCTCTGCCCTGCAAATGATGCATAGGACTCAATATTTGTGAGGTAGATAGACACAGGTAGACACAAAGGGGTGATGCTTCCAGATTGCAGGGAGAATAGACCCCATCTGGGTGAGACCAGAGGGTCATCCTGCTGTGCAGCTGTTTCGTGTGTGTGTGTGTGTGTGTGTGTGTGTGTGTGTGTGTTGGGGCATTAAGTGCAGCTCTGTGGGAGGCTATGAGTGACTTTCTAGAAGCAGGACTCAAGGCTAGAGATTTCCCTATCCCAGCTTACCCTGTTTTCCCTGCTTTATGCTTGTCTGTGCAACTCTGTATAGACTTTCTGACTCTATTTTTATATTTTAAATATGTTTTGTCTTTTACAAATTCAGTTTCATTTTTAGATTTCAAGGTTTTTAGTTTATTTTATGATTATTTTTATTTACCTTGAATCTACTTCCTTTAAGTACCTCTTTGATGTTAAAAATTAGGTTTGTGTTTCACATGCAGTGGTTAAGATACACTCCCTGAGGAGCGCCTGGGTGGCTCAGTTGGCTAAGCGTCCGACTTTGGCTCAGGTCATGATCTCATGGTTTGTGAGTTTGAGCCCCATGTCGGGCTCTGTGCTGACAGCTAGCTCAGAGCCTGGAGCCTATTTCAGATTCTGTCTCCCTCTCTCTCTCTGGTCTCATGGTCTATTTCTCTCTGTCTTAATAATAAATAAACATAAAAAATTAAAAAAAAAGATACACTGCCTGAAATCGGAATGCCTGTGTTTTAATCTTGGCTCTATTATCTACTAGCTGGGTAAGATGGGACAAATCATTAGATTTTTCTGTGCTTCATTTCAACATTAATAGTACTGACTAAGAGATTTTGTGAGAGATTAAATGAATTAATGCATGTTCAGGGCTTAGAATAATGCTTTGAACTACAGAATAACAGGAGTTTTTCATGATATACAGTTTACTATGTTGTAGATGACCAGTAGTGTTTCTCCTAAGTTTTCATTTTTATAGTTTTGCACTTTTCCTTTTACACGCTAGACCTTTATTTACCTTTCTTTTTTCTTTTAGTGTATGTTTGTTGTTTATTTGTTTTGAGAGAGAGGGAGAGGGGAAAAGGCAGAGAGAGGGACAAAAAGAGTCCCAAGCAGGCTCCAGGCTATCAGCGCAGAGCCCAACCTAGGGCTCCATCTCATGAACCGTGAAATCATGACCTGAGCTGAAATCAAGAGTTGGACACTTAACCTAGTGAACCACCCAGGAGCCCCTATTTGTCTTTCTATGTGAGAATGATAACAATTACATGTAGCATACATTTATATAAGTAAACACATATTGATCCACTTCTAGCCCATTAAAGTTTTTCCAGGGGCAGTGACTAGAACTATATTTAGTATTTTAGCCATAAGCACATCACATTTTTTTAAATGATGGAACTCTCTCTCATGTCACATTTAAAATATTCTTTTTTGATGAAGCCCAATATTTTTATCTGCAACAGTCTATTAGTTGATATCTTCGCTGACAGTTCTATAATGTTCTTGGATCTTATTTCACTCTATATTATAGAACTCATTATCATGAATATATATTATATAATACATGTATATTGAAATTTTTCTACAAATCTCTCACCTTTGAAACATGTTTGTTGCTTTTATGCCCATCACAAAGACTGCAAAAATTACTTTGATCTTATTTACACATATTTTTAGAGTCAAAAATCTTCATTTCTCTGGTAAATATGGAAATTTATTTTTCAGTAAAAAAAAAGAAGGCCCATACTAGCACCAAGCTCAAGAAATTGATAAAACTTTGTTCCTTTATTATTTTAGCTTCATTTGTTTTTTTAGCTTCATATTGTGAAAATAACATAGTGTTAGATGTTTTTACAGTCATTTTTTTCCCTCTCTGAAACTATTGACTATGCACACTTTTCTCATATAGAATATTTTGCGTTGCCTTACCCCCAGAGGTGAGATTTGCTCCAGGCTTGGTGCTGCTGTTGCATATTTTGCCATCTTGTTGGGAGTGGAAGTGAGATGCAGAGTGCTTCACATCATTTACAACGTGGGAGCAGCCACATCGTTAACATTGTGGCCTTTCTTTCACACAGAGTCTCATTATAATGATAGTTTCTCTATAATTCTTGGGTGGAGATGGATATCGAGGTGGAACAGGGTTCCATCTAACCTACCAACTT